AGACAAAGGAAATACGTTATAAAACGTGTCGCGACACGTTCACAATTCTTGGAAATAGGGAGAGGCTATCCCCTCTTCGATTTCAGACTATATACATACACAATTTACATGGATGCGATCAGTCTTGCGATACCTGCTTGTAAGAACGGTTAAAAAATGTTCTCTACCAAAGAAAGCAGCGCATCGAACGACGTGAAGAGGAATATAACGTGTAAGTTTTAACATTCTATATACAAAAAACGTTTTTCCAACATTATTTACAACATAATTGCATTACACAGCATGAAGCGTCGCGCGGTGCGCTTACTGAGCAGACGTTACGACCTGACGAATACGAGTTACAAGTATTTGGAAATTGGAATCAACGTTGGTCCACCGAGTTACGTGGAGATCGCTCTGGGAGATCATCGCGGACACGAACTGTCGCTGTCTCTCGAAACGTGGAAGGACCTCTATGAGCAGCGATGGAATATTTACAAGATGCTGCGAAACAAATACAAGGACAATTTTATAAGCGTTGGGCCGCTAACCGTCAGAGTTTGCAAGCTGAATGATGTTACGCTAGTACGTCTCGATTCTTCACATGATGATAACCGAAACGACGCTAAACCGTATGTTCAAGTTTGAAGGGTGTATCGATGTAACGTTCGAACGATTAGTCCGACTCGTCGATACGGTCGATGCCAAATATACGCGATTCTCCAATATCTCGTCCGCGAACGCTATACGCGATAGTGACGTCTTCAATGAGCATCAACTCGTCGATTGCGAGCTATTAGCTTTAGTTTTTAATACGTACGAAAAATCTGTGTAACGTGAATAAAAAATTTTTTCGTTCGCATTACTACGTACTTTCTTTACTTCCCATCCATTCTATCCTATGCCTCGACGCATTCCGTTTATATAAACAGCATCAATCGGCGCTTCTCGTAACGTTCGTTGCGAATCGTGTATGCGTTCTTAGAAACCTTCCCAGCGATATAGAACTATAAGTAAAACAATATTTATTTAGAATCGTTTGATCCGTAGCAACAAAAATTTACAACGTCAACGCGTGACACTAAAACTGCAAACCAAAAAGAGAAAATTCTGTCTAGACAATATTGGTTAGTTAATAAATACAGTCTGGACGTGGTTCGGTGATACATGACAACAAGCACGTTTCAAACTCATAAAATCGATCTAAGTATCAAGGGACATTTTCTCGTCGACAATAGGAAGTTAATAAAACACCTTGGGTTTTGAATCGTTTTTATAAGTTTAAAATGTGCTTATTGTCACGTATCATCTGTAAAAAAAATATGCTTGGTGTAGCTTCGCTGCAGCGAAGAATGCTTCTCAGCGTCAGTCTGTGATCGAGAGCAACGCAGAGCTAAGTGTGTGTGACAGTTTTAAAATTATATAAAAATTATTAAAAATGAGCAACGTTCGAGAGCTCCTGCACATTACGTACGAATACCCGGTAGATGGATTAAGTATTTTTTGTTTTTTTTAAATCGCTTAAATGAGATACGGTAGTGTCTCGACGCTAAGCCACGCGCAGCGACACTGCCGTGCCTCCAAATTTCTTGATATAATGTATATATTTCCATTTTTTTATATTATGTGCATATTATTTGTATTTTAACATTTTTTTGTTTTTTCAAGTACCTCATGGTCGATAGTGAATGTGTGGAGTGGTTGACTCTGCGGAGGGAGTTACGATTACAAATCATCCCATTGGTATGTTCAATATTTATATTAAAAATAAAGTATATCAATATGCTATTTTTTTATAGTAATATTCACAATTCTTTTTGCAGCCTATATCGCGGGGTGATATTAGAATCCGAGGATTCATAAATTGCTCAAACCGACGGTTGGTGAGACTCCAACGGCGATTGGCCAGGGAGGATCATATTTGAAGCGACGTGTGGAGGGACGAGGACCTGCATTTGCAGGAATTCTTTAGTCTCCGACCCTACATCAGATCGGTGTAGATTTGTAAGTATTATAATTTTTATATTATATTATATATGTAAAACTTCTTTTATATGCATATTAATGTAATGCTTTTTCGTTTTTGATAGGTGCTGCGTATATACCGGAGTTACATATACATACCTATACACACACATAATTTTTTTTATTTTTTATATATACATAACTTTTTTATTTTTTTATATACTTTTAATATTAAAAATTTTTTCAATATAAATAAATGTATTAACTAAATAATCTTATAACTGGATAAAATTATTTATTCCATCTTTCTTTCCTTCGTATCCATGGGTCTATGCACAAAAGATGATCGTAATTAAATGATTTTACAGGTTGGAAAAAAGGGTCCTAGGTAAACAGCGATACCGGCGACCCTGGGACCTTCCCCGCGCCCCGTTCCCGCTCGCTCAGTGACGTCATACCCCCACCTCCGAAGAATCCCCGCGCTCCGTTTCCCCTCGCCTCCGAGTACCCCCCGCGTCCCGCATTCCCCTCTAGCCCCATGGGTTAGAACGCGCCTAGTATATCTACTATTTGCTGATGATGAGTATGAAGTTGATTTTTCTGACAATAACTACGATCAAATAACGATATTTCCAAATCCAGAAGACTCGGGTTCTTCTGATGATTCAGGATCTGATAGTGAAGACGATACTTTCAATGATATGCTTTCTCAAATTTCTTATCAAAAACTATATAAGAAATACACAGAAAATCAAGATAGATTAGAAGGAGTTCATTCTTATGGTTGGGTAGATGGGGAAAAAATAGCAATATTAAAAATTCTGTTTTATTGACTGATGCTCAAAAACAACATATTAGTAACAGCATTTCAGTAGAACTCTTCGAATTGTTTCTTTCTCCCAACATGAAGCATTATACCGTGTATTTCGTTGTAATTGCCCGAGGCAAATATCTCGAAAAATATGAAAGATATAAAAAAATGTTTCAGACAAAAGTTGTATGGTTTCGAGGGAAACGTAAGACAGTGTCATTAATTTGACCTAGAATCATTGTTTGAAGGTCACATAAAGGTCACTTTTAATTTTTTAAATGGAACCTCCTATTTTTCATTACATTTTCTTATAGCTTATCTCAATAGCTTTCCAAAACACTATAATAAAGCTATTTTTCATTGAGTACTTTTCAAGTTAAAAGGCTCGAAAGTTACAGTACCACCGATATTAGCATTACGCAAGGTGCTCGACGGCTAAAACCTTTTGAATGTTGTTTAGAATTATGTCCTGGATAACATTTGTCAAAATCAAGGCCATTGGAGATTATTCCTCTTATTTTCATTTCTGCACAAAAAATTCATTTTTACATAAGAATAAAAATAAGAGGTACATCCTCTAATGGCTTTGATCTTAACAAGTGTTATCCAGGACATGATCTCGAACAACATTCAAGAGGTTTTAACCGTCGGTAGGACACTTTGCGTAATGCTAATTCCGGCGGTACTGTAACTTTCGAGCCTTTATAACTCGAAAAGTACTCAATGAAAAATAACTTTATTACAGTGTTTTGGAAAACTCTTGAGATAAGCTATAAGAAAATGTAATAAAAAATAGAGAGTTCCATTTAAAAAATTAAAAGTGACTTTTATATGACCTTCAAACAATTATTCAAAGTCAAATTAATGACACCATCTTATGTCCCTCTCGAAACCATATAACTTTTGTCTGAAACATTTTTTCGTATCTTCGATATTTTTCAAGATATTTGCCTGGGGCAATTAAAATGAAACACACGTATAATCAAAACGACCAAAGAAAATGATTATAATTTAGATTTATTCGATCTGAACACATTCATAGGCATCGTCATTTTATTTTCATTCAATAAAAGAAAATGGCAAAGAAATTATTGGTCTAACGATCCTTATTTATTTTGCGAAGTAGTTAGTTCTGCGATGTCATCTAAACTAGAGCTGGGATTTAGTTGTACATTTCGGTCGATTTTCAGCTTGGTTCCTGTCCCTTACCTCACCAACCCGCGCGGATAAGGGGCAGGAACCAAGCTGAAAATCGACCGAAATGTGCAACTAAATCCCAGTTCTGATCTAAACAATTCGAAAAAATAAAGTCAAAAATAAAATATTCAAAGGCGTCAGATAAGAACGATGATAAAAGTTGGCGTGTACGTTCGCTTCTAAATCAGTTCAGCCAAAACATTCGACAATTCGGTTATTTTAGAACTGGGATGGTCATTGATGAAATGATTGTCAAATCGTATGCCAGAACAACCTTGAAGCAATTTATTCGAGGGAAATTAATAAGATTTGGTTTGAAATTTTGGGGATTGTATACTACCGATAGATATTTGCTAGATTTAGATTTATATTGCGAAAAAAACAATCGGGCCTCCAAAGTTGTCCTTTAGGTTCTCGGGTTGTAATGAGATTATTGCATCCATTTTTTTCTACTACAGTACCAACAAAAGACTGCTTATCATTTCTATTTCGATAACTTTTTTACTAGTTTCAACTTAATACTTCATCTGAAAAAGTTAGGACTGCGATCTATGAGTATAAACGAGAAAAACGAGAAAATAGAGTAAAAGAAAAAATATTATAAGTAAGAAGTCTGCTAGAGGTACATACGCTGCAAAACACGACAAAAATAGTAGGATAAAGTATACAAATATTATAGACTCGGAACAAGTTTCTGTGGCATCCACTGCTGCTGAAGTGACTCCTCTTTTACTTTCTAGAAGGTATAGTTTTTATCTGAAAGCTAAAGTTGATGTCCAATGTGCCTTCTATGTCTATAATAAGTTTATGAGTGGGGTGGATCTTCACGATGGGCATTGTAAAAATTTGGCATCGTGTATTAGGTCTAAGAAGTGGATTTGGGTAGTTTTTACGAGATTAATTCGATCTTCTATTACAAACTATTGTTTTATTCAATGCAGCTACCAATGGAGAGAAGAAAATTAGCACTAAAAAATTTGCAGTATGTATCGCAAAACATTATTTAGAGAAAACAAAGTTTTCTCAAAATTGCGTATAAATTCACATGAAATGAGTTACAAAAATATAAAGAAAAGGTGTTCTACGAAAAAATGTACTATCAGAACATTCAAATGTTATCAAAGTTGCCAATTATATTTTTGCAAAAGTTGTTTTGATAAGCGGCACAAATGACGTGTTACATCCAGCGGACTCCCACGACTCTTTTCTTTCGTGGAGATCTGGAGTTTGTCGAAAATATAGAAACAGTTACGAGTTGCAGACAAATCGAGCCGTTACAGCTTAAAAAGTAATAAAAATCCTCTTTTCCCATGAAAAACTGAAGCGGAGGCTCCAATATCTCCTCGTAAATGTCAGCTAAGATAAATTAAAAATCATGGTGCACACGTGCGCGAAGACTAAACAGACGCCGATACCCTCTTTGGACACCGCGACTGAAAAAAACAATAAATAATAATAAAATTGTCATTTGGAAGCGCAGGACCGGCGCCAAGATATTTTCCTAACGATCAAATCGCGGACGATTCTCACAAGTCTCATCGTAAAATTTAAAAGCGACATATGACTGACGCAACGTTCAGAGGGAAATATTGGTCCCATGCCGACGCTGCACGTGCGTCTTCTCATAAATATTAAGGTCATAAAATTAAAGAGATGACACTTTCCCACATTACAG